CTAACTAAGACTGGAGACACCGTCCACACTTTGGTAAAAGCATCCGCTTTTTGTGGCACTATCCAGTTTGCTGAAAACCTCCCATGTTTGTTTGCTTTGTGAAGCGGGGTTTCATGAGGTACTTATCCACAGTCAGTGTCGTATTTTCACTGCATTACCTAACCCTCAGACAGCCCTTTGGACGGGGAGCTGGAGCCGTTATATTGCTCTCTTTAAAGCCACCAGACTCTGTTGACGAGAACAGTAATGTGCCACACACAGGAGGTTTATCACCTCTTTTGGTTTCATTGTTTGAAAGCTGAGAACTTGGAGATGAATTTAAGATGCAGCTCAGCGCTGTGTTTTAGTCATAGATACGTGATAAACTTCCTGTTTTAAATGATGTCTCAGAAGTTGTTGCAGCAATTTTTGGGTTGATAGTTGAACTAACGGTTGAGGATTCATCTATTTTTCCACAGTGCATCCATTAGTCTGCTCATTAGAGTTGTAATTAGTCGGTAATGTTGTGTATTAAAGAGGTGACTGAGCGACAGTGACGGGCAGACTGCAGGAAGAGTCTAACAAGATGATGAAACAACCGAAGACAGAGGAGAGGAGGAGGAGGAGGAGGAGGAGGGAGGACAGGGACGGACAGATAAGATGGGAAGGATGTGTGGGCGGAGGAGAAGAGCGGACGGAGCAGAGATTAGTCATCCAGTGGAGTTTGGACGGAGGGGGCGACGGATGGATGGATGGATGGAGAATCTCTTGGGTTCTATGTTTAGCAGCGTCTTCTCTTCCCTCCTTTAATGGAGATTCCCTCTGTGAGAGCTGCTGCTCAGGCAGTTTGTTTGTGTCGTCATGTAGCCGATACTCCTCCTGGTGTTTTATAGATTTCAGGTGACAGGGGAAATAACACTGGGCGCAGGCGGAGCTGTCGTAGAGACAAATCCCACCAACAAAAACTGATCTTCTGTTTTTTCTTGTCCTTTTTCTTTTATCTCTATTTTTATTGTACTATGAATAGAACATCCGTGTCCGCGTGACCACAGCTCTCTGTGGAGGTTCAGTGTGAAAAGTATCTTTGGGCCTCATCATGTGACAGACCCCAAAATCTTAATTCCAGATTTGGCCACTCTGTAAAATTTGCTTCAAAGGAGGCCCCGGGGCAGACCCAGAACACACTGGCGGGATTATAAATCTCTCTTGCCTGGGAAAACACCTCGGGGTCCTCCAGGAGGAGCTGGAAAGCCTGCTCTCCCCGTGACCTGGCCCTGGATGAGTGGATGAAAATGGATGGATGGATGGATGGATAGTGCTAGAATGGTTGGTCCGGAGGGTAGGGGTAGGAAACCCCCAGGGAAAAAAAAATGACAAAGTCCATGGCTCTTCATCCAGGGGTGTGTGGACGTCCAGCCCTCCGTCTGGTTCTTCTAGTGGAGTAGCAGCCTGGGTCAGTGTGGTTTGCTGCCCCCCCCGACCTCTGGACGGGTGCGCTTATTCCTCTGGACCATCCATTTTAGCACTGATTCAATTCAAAGTATAAACAGACAGCAACATTTTTAATCAACATTTTAAAGTGGAAATAGACAACCTTTCAGCTAGCTAACACTGGCAGCCAGAAACACGAATCTGTGACCCATTGTTTGTTTGATAATCTAAATAAAGAACACGTCTCCTTGCAGTGGTCCTCCTAAAATGAACAGTGGTGAAAGTTGCTGTATTCTGTAATGATCCATGATTGAAGAGCTGATGAGCAGACCGCGTTAGCTAGTGAGCTGGTGCGCTAGCTGGTGGAAAAGTCTCCATTGGAATCCCAGGCATACCCCTTGACTGGTTTAAATCCTAACTCTCTGTACTCAAGTTATCCAGCTCAAAACATTTGAATCCCGGCCATTTCCAGTTACTGACGGTGTTCCTCAAGGTTCTGTCTTGGGTCCCCTTCTGTTTATCATCTACTCACCTCCTCTGAGCTACATCTTCCGTAAATTTAACATCCACTTCCATTGCTATGCAGATGACACTCAGCTCTATCTGTCCACCAAACCTACCTCCACCCTCTCTGACTACCTTCATCCTGGTCCTCCTTCAATTTCCTCAAGTTGAGCAGTGATAAAACTGAGGTACCTTCTTAACTATATATTAAGCAATCTCCGTCCTGGTACTCGGCTCTCTGGCTCTGCAGGTGGATGTTTCTGAATAGAAAATCACTGGTCCAGCTCATAACTATTCAAGTTTTGCTTTTGTTCTTGTTGGTGGTTTTGTTTCCTCTCAGCTGGAACAATCCCTGATTTGAATAGTTTTATTAGCAATCAAATCTTGAAATTTTAGTGTTTTTTTCTTTGATCAATAATGGACTTGTTGGTTCCAGTGCTCCCTTTGTCCCCCCCATATCAGTGATGTCACAGTGCGTCTGTAGAGGGCTCTGAGCATCAGTGATGCTCTTTACCTCAGGACAGAGTGGAAACGATGCTTAAAATGGGAAACAAAGTGTGTTTAAACAGTGTGTTTGTGCAGGCCGAGGCGTACGCTCTGAAGTTATCACAGGACAGATGAATTTCACACAGGGATGACATAAATCTTTAATGAAAACGCAATGCAAACAGGCGCAAATACACAGAACGGAGCGAGCGGCTTCACATCTGCTGCTGTTTACGGCCTTGTAACAGATTAGGACCAGTGCTGGGAAAAGGTCGACTGTAACACACACACACACGATCATATTCTCATCACTAAGCAACACAACACTGACATGCTGTGTGGCTGCTGGGCTTTATTCCTGTGTCCTGTTGTAAACTTAACTTTAACGACTGACGTTACAGAGTTTTACAGCATTAAAGGGTTAAATTTTCCAAAGGGCTGAAACCCTGTTGTTTTTGCTTTGGCTTCTTTTTCTTCCTTAGAAATGTTTTCCCAAATTCCTGTGAGATGGTGCATTATAGACACATGAAATTTTCACCAGTGATTGGAAGTTGTGTGCAAATACTGCTCAAGAAATATGACACCAATCAGCTAGATGGGGGCGCTATAATCAAGGCCCAGGAAAACAGTTCTGAAAGGCCATTCCCCTCATACCTAAAGTCCTATTGACTTGAAATTTGACACACGAGTGCTGCTCAGTGTGCTCTACAAAAACACATACACAACTGTGAAAGGACCACTGTAAAAATGTCCGCCATTTTGAATAGTTTGAGAAACACATTTTTGACAATTCGTCCTAAATGGTAGGTTTGATTCATACCAAATTTTCTGTGGATCATCACTAGACCAAGCTCATCATAACTTTCCGTTTTGAAGATATTGACCAATGAACTTTAGAGGGGGCGTGGCTTAGCACAAAAATGGACCTAACTTCACAATCATTGAGCCAGTCATCACAAAACCTGCAGGAAATATCTAAAGAGGGACCAGGAACATATCCTGAAAGTTTCATTCAACTCGACCACTAGGTAGCACCAAAATTGCAACAACAAAAACATTGCACACACACAACACACACAAAGAAATAATTTGGCACAACACAATGCCGCAATGCCATTTAGATTTTTATGGAAAGCACATTTCCTCCTAAATCTTAGGTCCAATTTTTACCAAATTTTATGTGGTTCATCACTGGATAAACCTCATCAACACTTATCAAAAGGTTTTTGACATCTCATTGCGTTTTGAAGATAATGACCAATGAACTTTAGAGGGGGCGTGGCTTACAAAATAGGCCTAACTCCACTACTGTTGAGCCAATCATCACATAACCTGCAGGGAATGTCTAAAGAGGTACCAGCAACGTACCCTAAAATTTTCATTGAAATCAACCTGAAAGTTCCATTCAAATCGACCACTAGGTAGCGCCAAAATTGCAAAAAAATTGCAAAAAAAAAGAAGAAAAAAAAAAAAAGAATTTGGCACGACACGATTAAAAGCACATTTTCAACATCGCCTTCTGAACCTTATGTCTGATTTTTACCAAATTTTCTGTGGATCACCACTTGATAAACCTCATCAAAACTTATGAAAAAGTTTTTGATATCTCATTGCGTTTTGAAGATAATGACCAATGAACTTTAGAGGGGGCGTGGCTTAGCACAAAAAATGAACCTTACTCCATTGCCATTGAACCAGTCATCACAAAACTTGCAGGGAATGTGTAAGAGTTACCAGCAATGTACCCTAACATTTTCTTTGAAATCAAAAAAATTGCAAAAAAGAAAGAAAGAAAAAAAAAGAATTTGGCACAACATAATGCCACGATGCCATTTTGAGTTTTGTGAAAAGCACATTTTCAACATCTCCTCCTAAACCTTAGGTCTGATTTGTACCAAATTTTCTGTGGATCATCACTTGATAAACCTCATCAAAACTTATCAAAAGGTTTTTGATATCTCATTGCGTTTGGAAGATATTCACCAATGAACTTTGGAGGGGGCGTGGCTTAGCACAAAAAATGGACCTTATGCCGTTGCCATTGAACCAATCATCACAAAACTTGCGGTCATCACTAGTCCAAGCTCATCATAACTTTCCGTTTTGAAGATATTGACCAATGAACTTTAGAGGGGGCGTGGCTTAGCACAAAAATGGACCTAACTTGACAATCATTGAGCCAATCATCACAAAACTTGCAGGAAATGTCCAAACAAGTACCTGGAACATATTCTAAAAGTTTCATTTAAATCGACCACTAGGTAGCACCACAACTGCAAAAAAAAAAAAGCACTACGTTTTCTTTCAAAAGCAATGTTTCTGCAACCGACCAATAGGAAGTGACAGAGTTTTAAAGGTCCATTCTGGCATCGCCACTAGCAGCCATATGATTCACATCTGTTTCTGCTCATAATCTGACAAATAATTTTTGTTTCCAGTCCAATAATGAGACATTTAGGGTTAAATTCAGGCGGAACACCTGCAGGAGTTTGATGTTAAAGGAGTTTGGACAGATCAACACATTTCTAAGAACACTGGTTGTTTCTTTGTTGAGTTTGCAGCTTCTTTCTAACTGACTGTTGTTGTTTTTGTGTCCGCAGGTTGTTTGTTTGAAAAGAAGCTCTGTCCGAGAGATCAGCTGTGCAACAATGGTGAGTCTTCCACTTTTACTTTGCCAGTTTTATTCCAGCATGTGAACATGAAGTCACGTTCACATGTTGGGTTCATTGGAGCCGTCACACACAGGCTCATATTTATGACGTTATGGTGATACTAAATTCTATTTCATGATACGATACGACATGATGCAATGCGGTACGATGTGATACGATGCAATATACTTAATTGTCCACGTAGCGAAATTCATTTTGGACTCAAGTATTGCTGCCTTACAATAATAGTCCAGGAGAAATGAAAAGCGTGACAGTGTTGCACATCAGCCATTTAGATTGGCTGGGGGGTGTTTGTTTCTTCCACATTAGCGCTCAGCTTTGATGGAGCATCTTCATCAACATTTTAAATGAGTCCTCACAGCTGAGACGCTGCTGTTTACAGGGATTCTGCTAATTAAACACAAAGCTTTGATAGATGTCAGAAACAACACAGCATGAGGTGCAGCGGAGCCTTGAGCTGAATGCTTAATTAGGAATGAAAGTAACTTTGGCCCCGATCACACACAAAGTGTTGCAGGTTGCAAAATTGTAGTCGTCATCATTACAGTCCAGCAGTTGACTGTCTAAGAAATAAGATTTTGTGTGATTTAGACGGACTGACCCTTTAAAAATGTCTTTTCTATCTGTTATAATTTATTCACTCTTGCAGCACATTCATGCAGCCAAAGTAAAACTTAGATGTCCTCCTCTGGGAGGCTGATGTGAACACTTTCTTCCCCAGTGGGAAGCTTGTATTTACGGTACCCTGAATGCAGCGTGACGAGAATAGTAAGCCAGCCAATAGTGAGCGTTCCCAGCGGGCTCCAGTCGCAGCGACACGCTTCAGAAAGCCGTGACGTGTCTTCTGTCCATCAACACAGTCAGGAGCCGACGAGCCGTCACGGCTCAGCCTGCCGTTAACGGGGCCGTCTATAATCCCTCAGTGGGTTTCCTGCTTCCTTCCTGCCTGTTCAAACGTGGTTAGGATGTCATTACAGGAGCGTGCACGTGCGTGAGCGTGCACCTGTGTGTCTCAGCCTTCAGAGGCAGCTGAATTATTGATGGCGGTGTGTTTCTGCGTCTTGAAGATGTTCTGTGTTTGCAGAGACGGGAACATTTAGGGAACATGAGCAGCGTTCATTGTTCAGTGTCCTGATGTGAGAGTTGGATGATGCTCGGAGGAAGAGCATGTGCTGAAATGTAAGAATGAGAGTGTGTGATAGAGAGAGTAACAGGTTGCATTACAGACTGCACTGCAAACAAACATCTGGAATCTGTGATGGACCTCTGGAATGACGGTGTAGAATACATTTAATACCAGACTGCATTGAAAATCTGCCATGTTTGTGTCCTTTAACATCTGTTAGCTTGTATATTTCAGTAAAATCCAATTAATACCAATTTCCGACTGCATTTGAAAAACAGCCCATTTTTTATTCTGAAACATCTGTATGCTCAAATATTTTAGTAAAATCTGCTTCATTCCAGGCTGCATTAAAAACTGTCTATTGTTTGTCCTTTAACAACCATTATCTTGAATATCTTAGTAAAAATAAATGGTCGCAACCCTTCATGCTCAGCTCTGCTGCTCATCCCACAAACATATGTTCCTTACAAATGTGGCACCATTTAAAAGGGAAATAAACAGGCTTTCCAACAGAATGGGATGTATTGCCAAGAAGTATTGTTACAACAACGAAATAATCTACCAAACAGCTTTTATTTTAGTTTATATTTAATACCAAACTGAATGGAAAAAACTGCCCATTTGTGCCCTTTAACATGTATAACTTTGAGTATTGTAGTCATCTGTGTAATTCCAGACTACAATAATGAACTGCCTTTTGTGTCGTTAAACATCTGTAATTTTGAATAGTTCATTTCCAAACTGCCCAATTTGTGTCTGACATCTGCTGCTTGAAAATGTTAGTAAAGTCTATAGCATTCAAGACGGCATTAAAAAATAACTGCCCATTTTTTAACCCTTAAACACCTGTAATCTTGTATTTTCGTAAAAACTCGTCTACAGAAAAAGCCTGACCATTTTCTGTCCTTAAACATCGGTTATCTGTAACCTTGAATATTCTAGTAAAATGTATTTAATTCTAGACTGCATTAAAAAATGCCCATTTTTTTCCCCTTAAACAACTTTAATCTTGTATTTTATTAAAAAGTTGTCTACAGAAAAAACCTGCCCATTTTGTTTCCTACATTTGCTACTTGTAAATTTTAGTAAAGTCTATAGCATTCGAAACCACATTCAAAAAACTGCCCATTTTGTGTCCTTAAAGATATAATCTTTAATATTTTGGCAAAATAACTTGAATTCCAGACTGCATTAAAAAGCAGCCAATTTTGTGTCCTTAAGCATCTATAAACTATCTATACTATAAACTATTTTAGCGAAGTCTGAATCATTCTAGACTGTGTGAAAAACGTCCCTTTTTCCCCCCTTAAACATCAGTAATCTTGAATATTTTAGTAAAATAAACTTAATTCCAGACTGAATTAAAAAAAACTGCCCATCTTTTAATTAAATTTAATCTTGTGTCCCGAAACACCTGCGATCTTAAATATTTTAGTAAAACTATTTTTAATTCCAAACTTAATTAAAAAAACAGCCCATTTTGTGACCTTGAACATCTGTAATTTCAAATATTTGAGTTAAATCGGTTTAATTCCAGACCACAATAATAAACTGCCTATTTCTTTGTCCGTAAACATCTGTAATTTTGAATAGTTTAGTAAAATCAGTTCATTTCCAAAATGAATTTAAAACATTTGCCCATTTTGTTTCCTACATTTGCTACTTGAAAATTTTAGTAAAGTCTGTAGCATTCAAATAAATGGCCCATTTTGTGTCCTTTTTTAATAAAATAAACTTAATTCCAGACTGAATTAAAAAAAAAAAAACTGCTCATTTTGTGTCCTGGAACATCTGTGATCTTAAATATTTTAGTAAAAATATTTTTAATTCAAAACTGAATTTTAAAAAAACAGCCCATTTTGTGTCCTTTAACATCTGTAATTTCAAATATTTTGGCAAAATAACTTGAATTCCAGACTGCATTAAAAAGCAGCCAGTTTTGTGTCCTTAAACATCTATAATCTTGTCTCAGTAATTCCAGACTGCATGAAAAAATGTCCTTTTTCCCCCTTAAACATCAGTAATCTTGAATATATTTTTGTTAAAATATATTTATTTTGAGTAAAATCTATTCAATTCGAGGCTGTATTAAAAAATCTGCCCATTTTTTATCCCTTAAACACCAGTAATCTTGTATTTTAATAAAAACTCTTTAAAGCCCGTCTGCATAAAAAGCCAGACCATTTTGTGTTTGTAAACATCAGTTGTCTCTAACCTTATATATTCTAGTAAAATGTTTTTAATTCCAGACTGTATTAATCTTGCACTCCACCCCATTTTGTAGCAAAAATGCCTAAAATGACATACCCAAATTAAAATGACTGTAGCTTCTGAACCGCTCTGACTACATGCATGCATGAGGTCTTGCCAGAAAGAAAACTCCCTGAAGTTTCTTGTGAAAGTGTCAGAAACACTCTATGTGATACAGAGACAGAGTAATGGGCCTATGAAGTCAGTAACAAATTGAAGATTTTGCCTAAAAAAAATAAAAAATGGTTTCAGGATGAATAACTGTCTGTGGCTTCATCTGAGCAGGTAAATGACACTGTGGGGCTGTAGGCACACTATCAATGAACACTTGTTTCAAATTTGAAGAAGATTGCTCAAAGTATGACCATTCTACAGTGTTTTATCCATGAAAAGATCCAGGCGGAGCTCCAAATGACAAGAGCGCTCATTCGGCTTCAAAACAGTACTATCAGTGATCAAACAACACTCAGCCAGCTTCAAACATTGTACCTTATTGAAATCAGGTGTGATTATGATAGCTGATGTTGTTTATGACACAGAAACACCATAAAATATCACCAAATAAAGCCATATGAAACGTGAAAGTTATGATCCCACTTTCTAGACGGTGTATCTCAGCCAAAAATAGTGGTAGGAGTGAGACTCTTACCTTTTATAAAACAGCTAAGTCCCCGCTAACAGCTGCACATAAGATCACGAGTAATCCTTTAACTTTTCCCCTCGAAAAACAGCATGACATGACTTGTCACCACTCATCATGATTTTGGACTTTGTGTGTTTAGGCTGCTCTGGTGCGAAATACATGATAAATAAAAGAAAAACGATGTTATTTTTGAAAAGTCGAGAGCTTCCTGAATCTGTCAATACCAAACATCACATGGTTTGATGACGTAGTGCGCCTGGGAGATACCATTTAACAGAGGAGGAGGGGAGCGAGGACGTCCTGGCGGAGTTAGAGAGGTTAAGAAAATGCCCAGTTTTTGTCCTGAAACATTTGCTGCTTGAAAATTGTAGAAAAGTCTGTTAAATTCAAGACTGCATTCAAAGGCAGCCCATTTTGTGTCCTTGAACATCTGTAATCTGTGTCCAACCCCTGGAGTGTTAAAGAAGGATAAACTTAGTTCCAGACTGTGTTTTTAAAACATGACATTTTACAGTCTGCAACATCTGCAACAACTGTGCTCAAACGCTGTAACACTGACGTCCCCGGGTGAAACCTTTCAGAATATTTGAGTACATTTTGTTCAGGATGATGTCGTTCGTGCATGAAAACGTCTTTAATCAGTGTTGAACCTGGAATATTTGAGTAAAATATACTCAACAACTCAAACAACAGCTCGTTTTGTTTCTTCTAACTTGTGTGATCTGTGATCTGTTGGTTCAGAGGGAATTTAAACTCAGCAGAGACAACGGCTGCATTTCAGTGTGTGTTAACTCTGAGTCATCACTTGAGCTCTGGTGTGTGTGTGTGTGTGTGTGTGTGTGTGTGTGTGTGACGGTGACGTCGAGTGCACCGGCACTGAAATGTGAGTGTGTGAAGTGTGTGAGCTTCTCTATGAGGTTCATCACATTGTCAGAAAGGTGGAAAGAGCGACGTGAAGAGAAGGAAACGGAGTGAACGACACAAAAGAGAGGAAGAAAAAAAAAGAGCCCGAGTGCAACGTAAACAAGGTCTTCCTCCGCAGCCGCTCTCTGCCAATCCCTGCTCGGCCCGGCCGTCTCTATGACAACAGTGACATCACTTGCCTGACGACCGTGTGTCTCCCTCGTGTGTGTGTGTGTGTGTGTGTGTGTGTTAGTTTGATGAGAGATGGAGGGAGGCAGAGGTGATGACTCACCACGGCCCACATGCACACAAACACACACATTGTGCTTCTGTGTGTGTGTGTGTGTGTGTGTGTGTGTGTGTGTGTGTGTAGTTGCAGGTTTGTACATATCTGTGTATATGTTTATGTACATGTGAGTACATGTGGTTTTGCACGTTCATATCCTTTGCGTTGTGTATATTTGTGCCTTTGTGTATGTGGTGTGTGCACGTGCACATCTGTACATTGTGTCCATATCTATTGTGTGTTTCTAGCTTTACTCTCTCCGTATGAACGTCAGCTCTGTGTCGAGTTGCTTTTTTGGTCGATTATTTGTATATATGTATGTTTATATATAAATATCGGTTGGTTTATTTGTTTGCTTTTGTTTACATGTGGGTCTACATCACATTTGTGCGGCGGTTTCAGACGTAGGTGGACTGATGTCAGCTTGTTTTCTCCTGCTGCTCATAGCTGTTTTGAGTTTTAATCGAAGTTAAAGGGTCAGTTTACGCAAACCTCACCTCTAGTGCGATGCGTCCACATCATTTTGTCTTGCGTCCATGTAAACTGGAGGTTTAAAGGGATATTTGGGCAATTTTCAACCAGCTCTGTATCATAACACAACCTTTTCTTGTAGAACAGTTTGTATGATATCCTACAAAAAATGCACGCACAACAGTTCATACAATATCCTACAAAGTTGCGCCCCGCAAATTACATTTTTTTTTATTTTTAGAAACATGTTTAAGTGCACTGTTTAGCTGTAATAAGAGATTTCGTGAAAACGGAGGCTGAAAAACTGAAGTCAGAAGGTAAAACCGGGCAGAGCTGATCAAATATAAACCAAGATTATGTTAGTTTATTACTTATTTCTCGCCTCAGATGATTTTTAGAAACAGAGAGTTTGTGAAAATGGAGACTGAAAAACTGACTTGTTCTCTTCCCATGCAGACGGTTTGTTCGGTCAGTGCCAGGCCCCCCACCAGGAGCCCGTCCAGTACCAGGTGTCTGTCCCCGTCCTGCACAAACTGCAGGAAGTCCTCAAAGACCTCATGGTGCAAGGTGAGTCTCTGTCACACTAATATTCGAAGCAGGAAGTTGGAGTTAAGGTCAGACAGAAAAGACAGTATAGCTGACATTTATGTCGTCTCGTGGCTGTGCAGGTCTGACCTGGAAGGACGACATGACCCAGGCGATCATCGGCCGAGAGTTGAGTCACATCCCCACGGTCAGCTTGGCCTCGAACCTTCGTGAGAAGTCGCCGAAACAGTAAGAAACTAACAGAAGGAAGGAAAATGTTGATAAACCAGGGAAGAAAAATCTGAATGAAGATTTGTCTCCCAGGTTGTCGAGACTGTCGGGCCCCAGTCAGCGGAGGGTTCCTGGGCCCGAGGATCCAGCTGACCCCGAGATGATGCAGCAGTACGTAGACTACATGATCCTCGACCCCTCCAGGTCCTCCGTCCACATGCAGACGCCCCTGCTGGACCCTTACACCTACCACCAGGTGGGGAAAATACCCAGGCACAGATTGTGTTGTAGAGTTACTCTGCCCCCTAGTGGCCATCAAACCCACCTGTGTGTTGCTGATGTGTCGTTGCAGCAGCAGTATGGCTACCAGGAGGAAGAAGAGCGTTCCCTCAACTCTCTGGACGATAACCAAGCCTTCCCGCTCCTCGGCTCCCCCTCTCGCTCCGGATCCCGAGGAACCCCTCTGGACAGAGACCGGCAGCTCCTCCAGGACCTGGTGTCCTTTTACCTCACCTCTCCTTCTTCCTCTTCTTCCTCTTCCTCCTCTTCCTCTCCTGTGCAGTCCCTCTCACACCACAGAGGGGCAGTAGCAGCAGCAGCAGCAGGATTTCCCTCCTCGTCATCTTCCTCCTCGTCCTCCTCCTTTTTCCCAGAGCTGGACTTCCCGCTGGATTACGGTGAGGACTACGTTTCCCAGGTGGCTCAGCTCAGCAAGCAGCAGCAGCAGCAGCAGCAGCAGGAGCAGCAGCAGGAGCAGGCGGAGAAGAAGGCGCAGGAGGAGTACGACGCCCTGTCAGGACTGGACGGTGAGACAGGCGAGGATATAAAGATGTCGTCAAAGTTGATATTTTTCAAACAGGAAGTTTATTACGATTTTGAGGTACTTGTAATTAAGTATTTCCTTTTTATGTAACTTCTACTTCACTACAATTCACAGCCATATGTTTTAGGCTCTTTACCCTTGCGAGGCAGTTGGAGGGGTCGTGGGAGTTTGCCCATCCAGTCTACATGTGCTTTGTGGACTTGAAGAAGGCTTACGACCACGTCTCTTGAAGGGTGAGACTTACTGCAGGACTAGGGGATACCGGGCTCGCTGCTACGAGTCATCCAGTCCCTGTATGACCAAAGTGAAAGCTGCGTCTGCATACTCGGCGTACAGTCAAACGCGTTCTCAGTGGGTGTTGGCCTCCGCCAGGGTTGTGCCTTGTTACCAATCCTGATTGTGATATTCATGGACAGGATCTGGAGGTGCAGCTGGGGGGAGGAAGGGGTCCGGTTTGGTGACCTCAAAATTGCATCTCTGCTTTTTGCAGATGATGTGGTTCTGTTGGCTTCGTCACTCCATGACCTCCAGCATGCATTTGTGTGAAGCTGCTGGGATGAGAGTCAGCACCAAGGGGGGTGTCGAGAACTGGTGGATTTCCCCCTACAGGTTGGGGGATAGTTACTGCCTCAAGCGTGGGAGTTCAAGTATCTCAGGGTCTTGTTCATGAGTGAGAGTAGAATGGAGCGTGAGATGGAAGGCAAAGTTTTTGATTTCCTGGTCCATCTATGTCCCAACCCTCACCTATGGTCATGAGCTCTGGGTAGTGACTGAAAAAATGAGATTGCGGATCCAAGCGGCCGAAATGAGTTTCCTCTGTAGGGTGTCTGGGCTCAGGCTTAGAGATAGGGGGAGGAGCTCAGAGTAGAGCTGCTGCTCCTTTACGTCCAAAGGGGTCAGTTGAGGTGGTTCAACATCTGATCAGGATCCTCCTGGGCGCCTCCTGTTAGAGGTGTTCTGGGCACGTCCCACTGGTAGGAGGCCCCGGGGCAGACCCAGAAGACGCTGGAGGGATTATATATCTCATCTGGTCTGGGAACACCTCGGGTCCTCCAGGAGGAGCTGGAAAGTGTCGTTGGGGAGAGGGACGTCTGGGGTGCTTTGCTTGGCCTGCTGCCCCTGAGACCTGACCCTGGATAAGCGGAAGAAAATGATGGATGGATATTCATTAGTCGATTAGTCTTGGCCTAAATATTTGTTTGCTCCATCAAATCTCCCAAAATATTGACTGTTGTTTTATAAAGTACAGTAAAGTACACTCAGTATGTCTGAGCTCTACCATGTGTGTGTTTCGCTGTGTTTTCCAGAGCGCTCTCTGCAGAGGCTGGCTCTGCTGCTCGACCACTACGGCCTCGACGTGAAGGATTTGTCCCCCGAGCAGAGAGACAACCTGCCGGCGGCTCTGAAGCAGCTGCAGATGGAGAGCTCTTACGCCCACAAACAAACCAAAGGTCCATCTGCTCTTCATTTAACTGCTGCTGTTAAAGCTGCACACACTCATTCATAAAGAGGAGATAACTGAAGGGAATACAAGGGCTTAAAAACTGCTGTCGTTTCTGTCTGATGGTTCTGAGAATGGGACAAAAGTTGTGTTAAGGCCAGGACTGTAGGGTTTGTTTCAACGCTGGGGACGACTGAAATGAGGGGTTTGGGATCCTCTGCATTTTCTGCATTAATTTTTGGTGTAAATGTCTTTAATTGTCAAAATAAAAGTGCTACTTTCATGTGTTTTTTTCACCTTCGCGCTGGCAATAGGCAGGACAACAGGCATTATGTCCTTCAGTCCACTTGGACTAAAGGATGAACTGATTAGAATTTGGTGGTTGAAGGCTAAAGGTCACTGTGATCTTGTGTCCGTGGCATTCTCTTGAGCGCAATATCTCAATAAGTTCTTCAGGGGAATTTCCACAAATTTGGCACAAATGTCCACTTGGACTCAGGAATGAACTGATTACAATTCGGTGGTTGACGACCAAAAGTCACTGTGACCTAGCATCTTTCTCATTCTAATAAACACGATATGTCAAGAACACCTTAAGGGAATTTCTCTAGATTTGGCACAAACATCCACTTGGACTCAAGAATGAACTGAGTAGAATTCGTTGGTTGATGACCAAAGGTCACTGTGATCTTGTGTCCGTGGCATTCTCTTGAGCGAAATATCTCAATAAGTTCTTCAGGGGAATTTCCACAAATTTGGCACAAA